TTCCGATATATATGCTTAATTTTCCCCCGTCTCTTTCTTTTGTTCCCTGTTTCTTTGTTACTTGTATTAGCTTAATGACCTCTTAAGGCTAGGCAAATAAATATCCCAATGTTGTCAGGTGCAGAACTTGCACCAAAAATACGCCACAACAATAGGTTTCTGGATTCCCGAGATTTCTTGCATTTGTCCTGATCAATACTTGCTCAGTGCTCTGTTTTCCTTCTCGTTTAGATTACAAGCACTTTGGATCAGAGACAGTCTTTTTATTACAATTACATAAAAGGCTATAAGGACTCGGGAAGGTCAGAGCCCTGTGGGGTCTGGCCAGGACAGAAGCACATAGCTCCCGTAGCGCTCTCCAGGATTGTCTCCCAGCCATCCACTGTTCACACAAGATGGGACTTTCCAGTCCGATTTGGATAGGTAGAGAGATATGAACTCGTACACAGTTAATGAAGTCAAGGAGCTTCTTCAGATTTGTTTAAAAATTAAAATATGTAGTTATGTTGCAGTCATTTATAATGTACAGGAAAAAAAAAAGTTAAGTGGAACAAAGCAATTTGAAACTAATTCATTAATACTCTGAAATAGTTTATTCTGTCAGGTATCTGTCAAGAGCTCACTTTGAGTTGAACCTGAGTGAGATGGTATTCAAACAAGCAGATATATCCAAGAGACTGTCATTCTAGAGTTATCCTGAAAGTTTGCTCGCCAGGAAAGAGTTTCAATAGCATGGGATATGCCTGTTTAAAATTATGCTTCCATTTGCTAGAACTAATTTTATTAGAGTTTGAAAATGCAAAACCGCAAATTTTTTTCTTACGCACCAGTTTTTGTTAACAGTTGATTTGCAAAAGGCCCCGATCTGTGTTTCTGGGGGCGTATGTTTTGCTAAAAGTGTGGTCCTTGTGAAATCTGCATCTGTTTTATGCTTAATACAGTATTTTAACGAAGTTGTTGAGCTCTTTCAGCGTATGAACAACTCCGCAGTAACACAGCAACATGGGAACAATAGTTGTTTTCCAAAATATTAACATTTTGGCAACTTTTCTGTGTTCCAGAGGCCGCTTGTTCATTATATCCACTAAAGCAGGTTCCCTCGGAATTAACCTCGTGGCTGCTAACAGAGTAATCATCTTCGATGCCTCTTGGAACCCATCGTACGACATCCAGAGTATTTTCAGGGTGTATCGCTTTGGGCAGAACAAACCTGTGTTTGTGTACAGGTTTTTGGCTCAGGTAGGTTTCTGTCTGATCATTTTTGTGATATTCTGGCCCTGCAATCAAATTTCTAGACTGTAACTGTTTGGACTGTAGCGATTTGGACTTGTGTTGAAGCCTGTAGTGGTCCACACTCACCCGGTCATCTTCCAGCCCTAACCTGATATTTGGGCCACTGAAAAAGCTCTTGAAGGCAAGATTGGTAAAATAAGTAACGACTGAAATTATTTCCTGTTAAGCCCACCTCGTCTGACACCGCGGAACACAAATCCTGGAATTCTAGCAGTGATTCACCCATCCAGACTCAGAATTCTCAGCTTCTTTAATTTGCACCCCACTGAAAATCTTCACTTGAATGAACTGCAGAGAGGACGGTGGTGGTTAGGCCGTAGGCTTGCTCGGCGTAGCTGTCTCCTGCAGACCCCTGGTCTGTGGGCCCCTGGTGGTCCCCGCAGGGAGCTAAAGAATTTTTTTATTTAAAGGCATTTGAAAACTTGTGTCGCACTCTGCAGATACTGAAGATGTGTCATAATTCTGGTGGGCGCTGGTCTGTGGCTTTTTTTTTTTAAGTATAATGCCGTGATTTCTGTCAGGAAGTATCTTCCTTCATCTTCTTCAGGTGTTACAGAGTAGACTGAAGACCTTTTCGCAGTAGCTGTACTTAACTCTTGATCGAGTCACTATTTACTTGCCACCTTAAGTAGATCACTCTTTGTAACACGTTACTGTCAAACGCGGGGGTTTTTCTTCAGACTTCAGTCTATTTTTGTAATTTTTGATGTGCACTTTTGAACTGTTGATATCCTTTTTAAATTACGATGTTCGGAACAGGCTGTGCTGTTTTCGTACTTCTCATAGTCATTGTCTTTTTTTTTTAAAGTAATTTTCCTTTTTTCATCAAGGATCTAATTTTTTCATACACAGCTGTGATGAATTAGACTTGACTGCTTCCCTTCCCTTCTCACCCCGGTGGTACGGTATCTGTTTTCCTTTTTACAGGCTGCTCAAAGCAGCAAAATAAGGTACACGCTGTGGAAATTGCCATTTCTTTATCATAATCCTACTTTGGGGAATTGAAGCAAAAATGGATCTCTTCGAAACACTACTGAAAAAATACATTTCTTGCTCTAGTCAATAGCTGGATGACATCTGTCACGTACACAACTCACATTACTTTGTTTGCTTCCAGGAGGGTTTTTTGGGATTCTTTTGGGTTTTTTTTCTAAGTAGACAAAGCATTTTCAGGTAAATTTGTAGATACGGGGTCAAAGAAATGAGGAAAACAGCACCCTTGGGTGGTTGTTCTAGCTCTTTCATATCCATTAATTCTTTTCCTACATGACAAGAAGGTCCAGTATTTGTATGAAAGAGAGTGTCTTTGATTTTTAGGGAACGATGGAAGATAAGATCTATGATCGTCAGGTGACAAAGCAGTCGTTGTCCTTCCGGGTGGTCGACCAACAGCAAGTGGAACGTCATTTTACTATGAATGAACTTACAGAGCTGTACACTTTTGAGCCAGATTTGCTGGATGATCCTAATTCAGAAAAGAAAAAGAAGAGAGATACACCGATGTTGCCAAAAGTAAGTAGATGCGCATCACTAGGAACTATATGCTATAAAAAAACCTTAAATCTTTTTAAGGACGTGGGGTGTTTGATCTTGGAAGGAGAAGAGTGCTGTGCTTTCACTTCAGAGCAGTATTTTCACTTTTGAGTGGAGGTGAATAGCAGATAACACAATAAAATACGTCATGAATACACTGGATGGTTTAATGAGCTAGATAATGAGTTTCCCTTCAATGTCATTGGCAGTATAAGAAAAAGATCTTTCGTTAAAAGACAAAAAATTTAAATCAGAACAAACCAACCCACTTTTTCACGCCGTTTGGGTGAATACAAGTTGCACTGCAGGAAACCCTGGAAGCCAAGATTCCGATTAACGTCTCGGTGGGCGCTGGCGAGACCTGGTGTTACCTCGGTTTGTGGTAACAAACCTGTGAGGTCATTCAAGGCCCGGTTTTTATCTGCCTAGGTAAGGCTTCGTAAGAGCCAAAGTAATCCGTGCTCTCCTTTGCCAAGCCTTCTTGGTTTTTAGTTCCTTATTTAACCCTTCTTGTAGGGACCATTAATAGAGATACAGCGGAGATCATTTGGAAGAAGTTGCCCTTATTTACTCTTTAAGTGAGGAAGATTGGACAAGCGAAGGTTTTTGTAATCTATTTTTAGTGCTGCCGGTAGGAGCAGAGACCAGTGACATTTTCGTAGGCAATCATTTACACAACTCAGCGAGAATGCTGGCGTTCTGTACTCTGAGATAATACGAAGTAGTGATGTCAGACCTTTTTCCAGCTGGTGGTAAATGAACTTTTAGGAGCGCAGTGGTTTGTTTTCACTGCGTTCTGCCTAAATCTGTTTGTAGTGGATGTGATGTGTGTAGTAGTGGTTCGTTGTCACTGCTCTGTGTAGTAGTGGTTCACTACCCTGTGTGATATTTAGGGAACCAAAAAATTCAGGAACTGAATTTAAAAATAAGAACTACAACTTTTACAGTCAGGCAGGAGTATTCTTTCATGGGAAAGAAGAATTCATTCCGTTATTCTTTTACTGGTTAAATTTCTGAGTTACTCCTGTGTTAGTTCCTTATACAGTGTCTGGGTTTGCGAGGGAGGTTTTCCAGTTTGCAAATCTGTTAATTTCCAAGGAAAAGCTGCATGTTTCCCGTTCTAGAATATCTGTAGACCACTGTAATATAATCAATTGTGGCCAGGCACCACAATGGCATTCTGAATAGTTGAGCCATTCTCTGAGACAGGCTATTAGACCACCTACAGTGTCGGTGCAGCTGCTGGGGGGATTTAGGAAGTGTTAGCCCTGTAAGTTAGTCACTGTTACACATGCATTTTAAAACCCTTGGAAACAAACTTTAATGACTGTATCTAACCTCTTTTTACGACAGTGTTTCTCACTGTGAGCAGTAGATTGTGGATAACTGAAAATTTTATTCTACCCTTTTACGACGCACATTTTTATTTTGGCATATTCATTTTTTTCACCACCTGAAACATCTTCCTTTAGGTTGTAATTCATAGCATTTAATTTATCTTTTTTAATGTTCTTACTTATTTTATGCCATGTACATTTATGCTCCCACAAACTCACAGCTAATGCATGACCATTTGCTGCTGCTGCTTATTTTTAAGAAAAATAAGTCAAAAAGCTATGGAGCAACTGAGTATGTTTTCTCAAAGCATTGATCAATCCAATGCAATAATTACTCTTTGAAAGTTACTTGTTTTGTTTTACAAAAGTAAATCAACTAGTGAATGAAATGTAATGAAAAGAGGAAGTTTATAAACTCCAAATCTACTCTCATTCGGTTTTGAGCACTAAGTTTCACACTAATTCCCTTCCAACCATCGGTGTAAGGTTCGTGTAAGTTAAGTTGAATACAAGCTTTTAAGCAAGTCCCTGGCTGTAAATAGAGCAAGTCTGTGTACTGGAATTCCCTTTGGATTTTTCATGGGTTTAGCAAATGGTACTGAATGGAATTTCATCCTTTTAAAGATGTGCATCTTAGTACATCCTGTGTGCAAATTTCTAATCCCTTTTTTTTTTATTTGTTGGTTGAAAAGGCTGTAAACCATCAGGTAGATCAGTCGTATTCTAGCAGTTTCTGTGTGTGTTTGTTGAAAGCAAGGCTTTGCATTCCTGGTAGCCTCACAGAGTATGGGAAGCTAGCCACTAACCTCCAGAGGCTCCTACCCTTTCTTTGTCCCCCCTGAATTAGTCTTGGCCATGAGGAAGAACCACGCTGAGTCCCTCAGCTCCTGCCGAAGCTGGGAGTGGAGCGCTGCAGGTGTGAGGTGTCGTAGGAAGGACGTGACTCCCAACGCGGGTGGGCAGGGGGGCCCGTGGCATGCGTGGGACCTGGGGCTTTCTTGTGTCCCGCGTATAGCTGTGGTGAAAACCTCTTCGAAATGTGAGAGGAGGGGGAAGGTGTTTCTAGGAGCGTTAATAAAAATCAGTAGCTCTCATCGTGGAAATCCTGGTTGGCTCAGCCAAGGAAGAATGCCAAGCCAACAGTGACATCTGAGGTGACTTCTCTGCTGGCTTGGCACTGCCCTGCCCTGCCTGGATGAACAGTGCTTAGCACCAAGGTGGTAACTGTCCCAGAGGAGTTTAGAGTGGAGAACTGTTTCATTTGGTACTTATGTTTACTAATTTGATGATTTTAAAGTTATTTTTGGCTGCATTTGTCTTCCCTGTGAAGCTCAGCTGATGGGGATACTTTAATTTTATCACAGTTAGGTTCTTGCCTTTGCACACAAAGCTGAGCTAGTCCAGTGGTTGCAGGGACTCCTTCCTTGATTCCTGGGATTTGTTTGATTTGTGGCTCGTGCCTTATTTACAGTATTGTACAGTTCACTCTTATGTTTTATTTCCTATTCTGTCTTTTTTTGGACTATCCAACTCTCTAAAATCCTACGTAAAGAATCAGAAACAAGTGTCAGCTGTAGGAAATACTGCAGCGCATGTTACTCTCGAAATTGTGTGAGGTTATCCATTCCGAAAGTTAACCATTCCTTATTGCGATGTAATTTTAGCAGAGATGCGTGAATTAGCTTTATAATCGTGAAACTTCTTAACAATTAAATTAATTCAACGACATCCTCATAGCGTTTTTTTAAAGTTGATTAAAAAGACTTTCTGCTTTTTGAAAACATTTTGTTGTAACATCGATTAATTACACAGCATTTGGAGGTTAACATTTTCTTCGAGATCATGTTGCGTGATACTCTGGTGCCTTGTTCCTGGGAGGTTCAGCGCACCCGACCTGATCTCAGCAGCTCTCAGCTGGAAACAAAGGCCACTAAAACTTTACCTGTATTACTCTTCCATCATTGAGCTGCCTACCCCTTGCTTACAAAGACTGAGCTGTTCCTTTATAATTAGCAGCGAAGCAAAATGGGCGTTTAGGCTAAAAGAAGGCTTTAATTCTGCCTTTTACAGGTTTGGTGGGTAATTGTCTCTCTTTGTCTTCAGGCCTCTTTTATGTCTTCAAAGCATAGTCTGTTGAACTGTGTTTTCCCTGTGTGATTTTGCTGTTGTGCAGACAGCAAGGGAAGGGATTACCGTTGTGATCCTTAGCCTTGGTGAGACGTGCACGGTAAAACCCCGAAAATATACTGAAAGTGTCAAGTGGAGATACAGGCAGCTCTGAAAGGGCGGATTCCTCAGAACGTGGGTACAAAGATGTTCAAAAATACTCATTTTAGAATGGATCCCTTCCAAACATGAGGGAATTCTGAGTGGGAATTAGGTGAAATGCTTTCCGTCTTCTCTCCAACCGTCTTAAGCATGAATGTGGAAAATCCTGGAGGGGTAATAGGTTTTCTGCTGGGTATCTGCTCAGCCAGCCAACTTCATGACTTCAGTGATGCCCCGCAGTAGGAAGGTCCTTTAGGTGTCCAGCCAGGAATCGGGAATGTTGAGGAGGAGCAATTCAGGGCTGAGCGTTAGGTTTTTCTTGTAACTCCTGGTTTTAACACACTTTTCAACTTCTTCGATGTCAGAAAAAAATGTGGTTTAATTATTTCGGTCTTAATGGATTAGGAGAATTCATTCTATATTGTTTTAAAAGTCAGAAGCAAAGCTGTTATGTGAGTGAAGAAACAAATACTACTTGGTTTTTAAAATAGATGCTTGAGAATTTTGTTTTTGCCATAATCCGAGTTTCAGTCAAAGACCGGTTTTCTCAGAAGGTGTCGTTAAGGGGGAGGAGAAGATGCTGAATGTCGCTGTTTTATATAACAAGTCGCACGGCAAATGTGCAGCATGTAGTTTTCCTGGAAGCTTATCAAAGTTTCACGTCACGTGTAAATTTTAGCAGCAGTTTTCTGCCCTTTGCGGTCTGAACAAGCCCTTGGGAGTGCTGAGGAGTCGGTGCGTAGGCTTCTCGGGGAGAAAATGCCTATTGCCCTGCAACCGTAACTTCATAGTGCCATTTCTCTGCCCTTACCCCTCTGAAACAGCTTCTGCGTCTTGAACGATGTAAATACTTGGGTTTAACAGAATATTTTTATTATGGATGTTGTTCATATGAATTATTAAACTAGTCTTAACTTCCACTGCTTGATTTCATTCATCCGCTGTCCTCGCAGAGTTGAAGAGGACTGCCTTAGAAATTGAGTCCACAACAGATGGATTGGGTGTCTTAAGACATCTCTTAACTCCTCAGTCAATTTTCCTCTATTTCAGTACAGAAATAATCGCTGTGTGTAGGCCGTGAAGCTTTATGCAAATGTGGTGACTTGGTGTCTGAGACAGACTAAAGGCAAAAGCAGGTTTTGTTGTCACTTCTGTAGAGTAGCAGTTCCAAAGGGAAAGGTGGTGTGAAGTGAGAGAATTCTGTTTGATGTTTTACGATTGTCTTTCAGGTGTTACATGTTACTTTGCTCTGAATTTAGCAGTGGATCTGGAGCCTTTTTGAAATTAATGTGATTTCTGACTGGGCTATTGTTTGGGGGGTTTTAAAGTAGGTTCTCCCAGACTCTTAACACTCAGCTACCGAAGGGCTGTATACTGGGGTGGACTGGGCTGATAGGTAGCTAATGGGAAGAAGCCTTTTCACCACAAACACTGCGCGCTGGGCTCGGCGATAAGCGCCGTACTCGTGGCTTACCTCGGGCAGCGCGATCCGTAGTTCGGAGCGGTGTGGGTGAGGTAGGAGCTGGACAAAGACAAATTGAGGGGCTCTGCGTGTCCCTCGGAGCTGGTACTGTTGCACCCTCTGTTCCTTGCTTGTCCTTCCCCACATCAGCGTGTCCAGGGGGTTAGAGTTGCAGTCCCGTTTTTATGTGAAGTGAAAACTTGACTCAGCTGAGGTCATGTAATGCAGATTGGAAAAGCAGATTAAAATAATAGTTCAGATTCAGTTGGATGTAGTATATTGTTATTTTATACTGCCTCAGGACACAGCCAGGGCATGTGTTTTACTGTGCTTCGGTTCTAGGGGACAATTCTGTGAATTTTGGAAGGCTGTTGATCTCAGAATCGGAAGAATTTGATGCTTATTTAAACCTATTTTTGTTTTTAACCTTGGTATTAAATGTTCAATTGGTTGAGAAAAACTTGTACGTGAATTACAACATAACTCGCATTCCTTTGTGGAAGATTTCCTTTCTAATACATTTATCTCTCCATAGCATTTAATTTCCGTCAGGATTTTAAAAAGACAAACCTTTTTTTAAAAAAAATTCAAAGCCTTTTTTCACTATCTCTTCATTCACCAGGATTTCAGCTTAAAGCTTATAAACCAGTTGATAATTTGTTCTATCAAGAAGCTAAACAAATGAAAAGGATTACTTATTCAGATTGATTTGTGTGTGTGTGTGTGTGTGTGTAAGGTGAATTTATTATTTGTTTCATTGTAAAATTAAAGAAACTAAACGGCAGTACCTTCCATATCTCAGTTTTCAAGCTCCATCATTAAAGTTAATGCAAAATAAAGTTTAGACAAAGAAAAGCAAACACACAGTTGGATGTAATTTAAACCACATTTTGAAGACTGCGTTGGCTAAGTGAGTGTGGATTATATTCCAGTATTGTTTTCAATAATAGTGTTACCATGGAAATCAATGCATATGCATGTCCAGGAACCCTCCACGCGCTGATGTACAGCCACGGTATGCTGAGAGCGCTTCAGCCGTGGCAGCTCACTTTTGTAATATCTTCTTGACTTTTTCACCCACTTCATCTGGATGGTTTCATCATAGCCTGTTACTGCATCCCTTTCGCTCTCTGCCTTCTCTCCCACCGCCCCAAAAATACCATTAGTATTTTACATGTATTCACAAATATCTTGTGCCCGTTAGTCGTGCGGATATTCCATTGACTATTTTGTTGAGGAGTGGGCTACGAAAGCTTTGATTCACGTTTAGGGAGACCAGAGAGTAGAAGGATGAACCAGAAACTAGTTTATGTAATGGGTTAACTTAATTGAGTGTTAAACACGCACAGAACCAAGCGACGTTCTGTAGCTGCTGTGACAAAACCACTGGTCAGCACTTCCACGGGCAGTTCCCCGTGTTGTTGCAAAAATCTGTTTCCTTGTGGGTACAAGCCATTCTTTCCCAGCATTCTTCGATCTAGACTATAAAATGTCAGGGTAGGACAGTTCCTGTTCCTGTTGGTACAAACGCTGAGCAGAATAAGGGCACGACGTGGGGTCTGTAGGTATTCGTACGATTCGACTGCAAAAAGTATATTTGGTGTATTCTCTCTAATTTCAGGAGTGGTCCAAAAGTTCAATGAGATAAAGTTGTGGGGGGTTTTTTTATGATGAATCTTAGGCTGACTGCTGAGCTGTATTGGAGCTTGCTTATATATCAGTACAGACACGTGTATAGAGGCTGTCAGTGTGCCTGTGAACAAACCCCTCACAACAGTTTGCCGTTATAAAGGACACTGTAAATACTTCGGTTATCCTTAAAAGCAATTAAGCATTAGGGGGTTTGTGGAATATAGAGATCTAAATTGCAGATCAAACCCAGTTCATAGCGGTGATCTGACCTTTCTTAGGCCAGAGGGGTGGGGACTGTTATCTCGGTGTGTATCTTAACAGCTTTAAGAAAGCAGGTTTTTCTGTCGAATGCCGATGGACAGTTGATGGACAGAAGTATCACTTAGTGTTCTGAATCCAGCAGAGGTGCTCTTTGTGTGCTACAGATGCAGATTATTGGTAGGTCCTCTCAGGTATCCAGCCGAAGCTGGAAAAAGGAAAAACCATGGAGCACATTCCATTCTTTTTAGGTTCTAAAACTGCGTTTATTGTTGTGGAATCCGAGTGCATTCCTGTGGTTCGTTAAGTGACTGGACTGTCATCCCTGTAACAGATTGTTAATCCATTACCCTCCCTCTGAGGAGAAGTGTACTGTTGAGTTATTTTTTTTAGCTCCATTTCGCTGTGAAGTGCTCTGAGCTGCTCCTTGTGGAACTGGTCAAAGCAGCAGGTTAGGTGTGCCCAAAGAGTAACCGTAGTAGAGCTACCGAGTGACTTCTCGTTTGTTCTGTCTTTCTTCAAACAGGATACAATTCTGGCAGAATTGCTTCAAATCAATAAAGAGTATATAGTTGGGTATCACGAACACGATTCCCTCCTGGACCATAAGGAGGAAGAGGAGCTCACTGAAGAAGAAAGGAAGGCAGCATGGGCAGAATATGAAGCAGAAAAGAAGGTAAAGCTCTGTGGTCAGGTTTGCCTACAGGAAAGGAATTCCAGATTGAAGCCCTGCTTGCCTTTTCAGTTTGTTTTGGGGAAATTAACTTTCTTATAGGCCAAGAAACGGATTGGTAAAGCGAATTTTGGCATATGAAGAATGGAGATACCGTGTCTCGTTTGCTCTTTCAGTGCTGGTCTTCTGGGTGTATTTTCTTCGTTGCTTTCATTTAAAAGTTACTTTCTGCTTTTACACACGCAATTTTTTCTGTGTCGTAATAAAACTCAACTGGTGTCCTGTGTAATACCCCTCTCTTACCATTTGAGGGAAATTTCTAGCTCTATTAAAGGTATACCATTGATTTCAGAATTTTTTGCCACAATCCTATGACCATATAAGCATCTGCCAGAAAAAAAGCTTGCTTTTTTTTTTTTACTGTTATTCCCTGTGTCTTGTTTATTTGATATTTAAGCAGGTGGTAGAATGAAGAAAATTTTAAATTGGCTGCAGGTTTGGGATTTTTTTTTACTGTAAAAGGAATATGATAGCTTGGTGTAACTGGAGTCTAATAGCAGAAGATTCCTGGAAAGGCAAAGTGTAGTATTCAGATCTGGTCAGTAATCAGAAAGTACAAAAAGTGGAGGTATAAATCGCTACTGACCATCTCGAGTGAACAAATGACAAATGAAATGGAGTATTAGGAGAAGGTTTGGTGAGGGAGAGGAAATAGGAAGATGGAGTACAGTAAGCACTGACATTGCCCTCCTCGTGTGGGAGCTGAGCTTTATGTTCCTGGCAGTAAATTATGCATTTCACTCTTCACAATTTGATTACAGTCAGGTCAAACTCAACATTAGGTTGCAATATAAATTTTATATTGCAATTTGCAATATAAAAAATGCATCTTAAACCACTTAGGATATACTAATAAACCTTGCTCTTTTTTTTTTTTTTTCCTTAGCATAGCAAATAATTATAATTCAGCTCAACTCCCGTATTCCTCAAGACTAGAACTTAGGTTCCTCTATAATTAAAATGTCCTTCTGAATTGAGGTTTGGAAAGGATCTTCCGTTGAGCGGGAGAGGTTGGCTTTCACGCAACGTACGGTGCTTGTAGGCTTCTCTGAGGGCCGATTTGTCTGCGGGTGGTACTTCGTGGGCTGTTAGAGAAAACCACGAACTACCAGTTACACAAATAAAAGCTCATTTTGTGTTTTTCAGGGCTTGACTATGCGCTTCAACATGCCGACTGGGACCAATATGCTTCCTACAAATTTCAACTCTCAAACACCGTATATTCCTTTCAATTTGGGTGCTCTGTCAGCAATGAGTAATCAGCAGCTGGAGGTAAGTAGCAATCCAAGTCGTGTAACATCTCTGTGGTGCTGGAAGCGGCGTGGGTTTTTCCATCCCAAATAATGGATAATGTCATTCTTACGTATCTTGATATTTATGTAATTGGATCCTGGCTTTAATGGGGGGGGCTGTGTGTGGATTGAAGTCTTAACTTGTGTGCGTGTAAACCTGTATCTGCGTAGTATCTCAGGGCTCTGGAAGGTCACTGCATTCCTTGCAGACATTAATTACCACAGCTAGCTTTCTGGCTCCATCTGTCTTCTCTCCGAGGAGGAACGGGAGAGAGGAAGGCGTGCGCCGTTCCTCCGTTACCTCAGGCCTCGGTTTGCCGCCTCAGCCGGAGTAGCGGAGGGCGTTTGTGCCGAATGAGGTGCCAGGCTGTAAACTGCAGAGGTTGAAGCACAGTTGTCTTATGACACCCGCTAGCATCTTGGTGAGGAGTGTGTGCTGGAGGGCTGAAAACCTCCAACGGAGTGTGCAAATCAGGGGGCCCCACGTTGAATGTACCTGAGGAATAACACGCAGCGTATGCCAGGATTATGCTAAGATAGATAATTTAGCGCAATAGGTAATATTTTGAGCAACGCGGAATGAGTTGGGAGTGTAACGTCATCAGAGTCAATATTGCAGGAAATTTGCCTGGGTTGGAAGCACAGCACTCCTGGGGTGATCTGAAAACCTTTGGGTACAAAAGCGGGTTTTTATAAACACTGCCTGCTGTACAGGTTGGCGGATTTATACACGCTGTTCGCTGGCTCTAGGCCGACGTTCGGTTGTGTGGAAGCTTAGACTCACTGACTTGTGCAAATTGGGAGAAAAAAGTAATTAAAGTCTAGGTACATAAGGCAAAGATGAAGAAAACTTACCGAAGGTTGGCGAAGGAACGCGTTCTTTGTATCTGTGCTTTATAATTCATTTTCTGGTGTTATTCCAGGACCTTATTAATCAAGGAAGAGAGAAAGTTGTGGAAGCAACCAACAGCGTAACTGCAGCAAGAATTCAGCCCCTTGAAGATATCATTTCAACCATAGTGAGTGAAATGGGTCACTGTAGGTTTACATCAAGAGATGGGGCAATGTTAAACGTACCAGACAAAGACATTGCTCTTGTGTATGGTCATTCAGCTAATTAATTGCATTATTAATGAATATAATTTCCAGTTTGTATTGATCTTGATTCCTGCAGCTTGCAGTAACCTTTAATGGTATCTGGATGACATACGGAGCCTCAGAGGACTAGCAGTTTAGAGCCGTAATTATTTGCTGTGCTCTGAAAATGCTGATTTTCCACAAATGAGAGTACTAATTGTCCACAGATAAGGTGTATTTCCTGTATCTTGTCCTTATCGATCTACCTTGGGCTGCCACGTGCCTCGCTGTGAATAATCTAGAGGTGCCTTACCTTAATTAGCAGTTAGGAGATCTGATAACTCATAGTTCTGGTGCTGGTGAAGTATAATTTTGCATTTACTGGGAACTGGGCTGTGTTTTAACTCTTGACGCCGCTCTGAGTATAACGCAAACCCTAAGTTCCCAGTAAGCTTTTGTTGAAATGACTGGTGCCAAGAAGGTTTGGTGGTTTGTTTTTTTTTCCCTTTTCAGTGGAAAGAAAACGTAACACTCACAGAGAGCCAAGTCCAGGCCCTGGCACTGAGCAGGCAGGCAAGCCAGGAGCTTGATGTCAAGCGCCGAGAAGCCATCTACAACGATGTCCTTACTAAACAGCAGATGGTAACGTACCTAACGCTTGTTCGATCGACTGTTTGAATGGGGATGTCGAGTGTGGAAGCTTTGCGTGTGTTCAGAAACCAGAAGTGTGAGTTTGGGTACGTCAACACGTCTGCACCGAGTGCGTGTGTCAGTGGGCCGGGCACGGGCGGGCGTTGTGAGCACCAGGAGATGCGGCTTCTGCGGCGTGTTGCATCGCGTGGCTCAGCCTCCTCGAAGGAGGCTCCAGAAGTTCATTTAAAAAAAACCAAACCAAAACAAATGCTCGCCAGATTTTTCTGTTGAGGTCGTTTTCTTGAAGGTCCTGAGGCTTAAAGAGGAATCTGACGCCCAGAGCTCAGAAAGCAGCGCGGGAAACACACACCTTAGGAAGGAAGGGGCAGGTTTTTATTAGCTTAGAATGACTTTGCAAAGTCTGAATGTTGCCCAGATGTGCCGAAGGGAAGGGTTGTCTCCGAGGGAAACAAACGTTCAGGGACAGCCTGCACGCAGGAGAGAAATGGCACCTGACGGACCCTGTTGCGGCTTGTGCCTGGGAATAATTGCACGGGGTGGCGCGTGTTGCCGTAGCAACTCACCCCGGTGCTGCGTGCTGTCCGTACAGGTCGTTCGTTGGGAGAACGTCGTTCTGAGCGGTGTCCCTGACCGGTTCCTGCAGGAATCGGGAATTACCGTCACGGCGGTGATGGTGGTGACACGGGGGGCTCTTGCCCTTCGGCCACCGCCGGCCCTCACAGGTGGATTTTTTAACTCTGAACTCGCTGCTTGCAGCGCCGGGGCGGGTCGTGCACTGACGGCAGCTCTGCTTTCCCTCCGCAGTTGATCAGTTGTGTTCAGAGGATCCTGATGAACAGAAGGCTCCAGCAGCAGTACAATCAGCAGCAGCAGCAGCAGATGTCTTACCAGCAAGCAGCAATGAGTCACCTCATGATGCCAAAGCCTCCCAATTTAATCATGAATCCTTCTAACTACCAACAGATAGATATGAGAGGAATGTATCAGTCAATGTCTGGCGGTATGCAGCCACCACCGTTACAACGAGCACCGCCCCCAATGAGAGGCAAAAATCCAGGGCCTTCCCAAGGGAAATCAATGTGATTTTGCACTAAAAGCCTAAAGGATTGTTAAAATCAGAGAAAGAACTTTTATTTTTTTAGGAATCAATGGCTTAACAGAACTCAACTGTAAAAAAAAAAAAATAAAAAAGGAAAAAAAAGGACAAAAAAAAAGACAAAAAAAAAAAAGAAGTTTGGTTGGTCCCCTTAAATGCCATGTTCCATGTTAGTGTTCCAGCTTTGTTTAAACAGGACACGATGTTTTCCCTGTTGTCGGTGATGTTGCCTAGAATCTTCTTACATACGTTGAGTCCAGGAGATAACAAGTTGTTTTCAGTGAAAACAAGTCCTCCCATACCAGTAGCATCTCCACAGGTTTCCTGTCTAAACTCCTGTGCTTGCTTTTAGTAGCCGCGAAGCCGCCATCAGATCTGAGAAGCTGAGGAAGGGCCGCAGGTCTGTGTGTTTCAGTGAATCATATGTGAATTGCCAACAGCTGAGTTCTTGATGAGAGTTGATTCCTCAAATTATGGAATACTTTTCTGCTTACCCCTTTTCCTTGCGTTAGCGGGAATAGTCTGACAGAAATAGTCTAGTTGCCTTTTGACTGAGGTCTGGACTCATCCGACGTCATCTGTGCTGAACGGAACAGAACTGAAAATACTCTTTGACACAGAATTGGGTGCAATATTCTGAACTACTACTGCTCTGATTTTGAGTCGTGCAGTTAAACGGAAACTGTGTACACAGCCTTAAATAGTGACTCGGGGAAGGCGGCGGTTCCTCCCCAGTCTTCTGCCATTCTTTATTTTCAGTTTTCTGTGACGGAATAACAGCTGGTGATCCGAGAGCTGGAGGTGTTTTTCCTTCACGCGCTGATTTGCTCTGTTCGGAGTCCGATACGAAGCACATTGCTGTTAACTCCTTAATGCTGGTGCTACTGTCCTTCCCCATTGCCGGCAATGGGAGACGGGCCAAGACGATTCAATTCCTGGTATTTGGGGGGTTAAAGTCGTGGTGGTGGCCGGGGTCAAAACCCCATTCCATAAAAATTTCAAAATGGCAGAACCAGGGCTGATTTAAAACCACTACAAAGAAAGTGCTGTAGCAACCTCCGGAGCTGCCAGAAGAGTGAAATAACTTTTCCTCTTTTAGATCAGAGTTTTCGTTACGCACTCCTCCCCCCTTCCCTTTCGTTGCTGTGAAACGTGAGGTAGTACACAAAAGAGCTTGATTATTTTTTGTTTTGGGGTTTTGGTTTGGTTTTTTTTCTCTTCCATAGACCAGAGGTTGAGTTCTGGTTTGGTAGGTATCGTTAGCACTCTCGTTACCCGCGCTTCTCGTACTTGTGAAGATCTAATGAAATACAAATAGGACTTTTCTTTGAATATCGTTTGGTTGTTTCTTCCCCCGCCCCCCAAAAAAGAAGTTTTATCATCTGGGGGTAAAAGTAAGTGACAGGAACATTTGAGGCAACGGCGTATCGACCACAGAGAACTCTGGAGAAGCGGTCGGACGGAGGCGTTTGCTCCAGATGTTGCCGGACTCTTCTGACTTGCTGACGTGAACTAAAATTGTTTTGGTTTCTGGAAAGTTTCTTGCAGGAGTTTGAGTTCTTGCCCTGAATGGACAAGTGGGTTTTGCATCTAAAGATGCAAATCTCACGCGATGTTTCATTTTGTGATTGAAGCTTGTGATCCGAACGGAGTTTGTTTGTTCTGTTGCAAAAGCAGCGAACAAGTTGCTGTCTTGGACTCTTTTATCACAAGATACCACGAAAGAACCTCAGTGTGTTCTAGGGCTTTGCCAGCTCTACAATTCAATTTAATCGGGGGGGAGGGGAGCGAAGAGAGACGCATTCACACTAGAAGAAAGAAAACGTGAGACTTTGAGACAAACATTTGAAGGCAAATGTACTCTGGGCAACTCTCACCGCTATTCCTACGTGTTGTGAGTAAGAGCAATCCTTTCTGCCAAACCTGGGAATGTTCAATGGAGTTTTACAGCAACTCAAAGACTTAAATGTGGAAGTTTTAGGCAACATTTAAAGGCACATTTTTTTCATTCTGGACAAAACTTATGGGTAACGGAAGACTAATGCATACGAAGAGATCCGACATAAGCATTGAAGTAAAACTTGGACCACTTTGCATACATGTTTCTCACTTGACATTTTAGCTGCATAACAATGCGCTTTGAGTATAACATCAAGCTTTAACAAATATTTAAAGACGGAACATACATCAGTAAGATAATAAAAGGCTCATTTTTATATTTGTTTTAGATGTTTTAACTAGATGAAACGGCTTAAGATGACGAATAAAAATGTTGCTTGTAATACAGTTTTGCCTGCTAAATTCTCCACATTTTGTAACCTGTTTATTCCTTTGGATGTAAAGCGTTTTTGCTTAGTATTGTGATATTGTATACGTTTTGTCCCAGTTGTATAGTAATGTTTCAGTCCATCAACCAGCTTTGGCTGCTGAAATCATACAGCTGTGAAGACTTGCCTTTGTTTCTATTAGATGGCTTTTCAGTTCTGTATTAAATATCTTAAGTACTATAGAAAAGGTGTCCCCTCTTCCTATAAGGCTGTTTTGTAATATATATAAGGACTGGAAATGTGTTTTTAAAGAGAAGAAGCATTCAAGTATGACGATATACTATCTGTGTTTTCACCATTCAAAGTGCTGTTTAGTAGTTGAGACTTAAACTATTTAATATCTCATTTAATAAAGTGACCAAAATACATCAGCGTGCCTTGTGCTGCATTCACCACACAGCGTTAACTCCCCAGGGCTACAGGCTCACAACTGCCCTGGCTCGTTTTTCCTACAGCGAGGTACCTGTGGCTGGCTGTAGCCATTCCTTTCGTTCAGGGAAGGTAGTTGGGGTCCAGGTTTTCAAATGATACGAATTAATAGTAGCTTCTGCAGCCAGTCTGTCTGTTAAAAGCGAGGAGTGAGTGATCTCCCAGCAATGATAAGTTGTTAAGAGCGAGGTGTGGTTCTCCTTGGTCAAATTAGAATAACCCACTTGCCTATTTTTACCTCGTAATTATACTTCTCCCTTTCGTAGTTACTAAATCCCACCTGTTGGGCAAAAAAAAAAACCCTTTCCTACACAAAAACGATGTGGCAGTTGTGTTTTAAATCTGCCCCTACGCTCGTTCCCTCTCCTTGAAGCCTTTTTGTGGCTCCGGGCCGGCGCTGCAGCCACGTTACTGGTGGGGAGGTGCAGCTGAGAAAGGGCAGATGCTGTGGAAATGGTGTCTGGTGTGAAAATAATCCCGTTGGGCTCTGAGGGGCAGTGTGGGCAACGTGCTTTTGGATATCCCTGGAACTTTTAACTTGATGAAGAGCTTTGCTAGAGGGCAGCGGGAGGCTGGTGCATGGGACAGAGGCTGGATATCGGCTGTCCGTGTCGGGCTGGGGAGCGTCCTGGGACGAGTGCCCCGTACAGAACAGGCCTGCAAGGTGCTCCAAGGCGGAGCCGCGGTGTTCTGATGTGTCTGGTGCGAAATGCTTACCCTGGGGGTATTTTTTTTTTAATCTTTACCTTAAAAGCAGAACTGCTCTGAGCAGGGTAAATAAAAGTGAATTCATCAGTTCAAGCAAAAAGAGTTTTGGATAAATTTTCAGCATTTATGGAAAGACAAATCTCAACGTCCCCAGCTGGAGCTGCCTGGAGAAGCGCTGGTGTTGCAGCCTCAGCCAACGCCTGAACTTCCCAGGCCTGCTCAGGTGTGGAAACAACCCCAGGTGCCCCCTCCGTGCTGTAGAACGCACCCTGGAGATGTGTCCTGGCGAGGAGCACCAGCAGGACTCCACCCCCGCGGCCCTTCGGGAGAGCTGTGCCCTCGGCAGTGGTTCGCGCACAGACCTTCCTCCGGCGATGGTCGCCCGGGCGCTCGGCACCGAAGGGCCTGGAGAAGCTCCTGCGCTGCCCCCGTGCCCGCGGGGTGAGCGGCTCGTCCTTCTGGGGGAGAGCCCGGGTCGCCTCCGCGCCCACAGCCCACGGGGCAGAAAGCTCCCGTCCCCGCTGCGCCGGGTGAGGAGGTGGCTCGGGGGGAGGTGGGGACCGAAGGAGGGTGTTGGGAAAGGGCT